CCTTTGACCCAGAATCCTGAGAGTGGTGTTCCTTGCTAGTTCTCCAATTCACTGAGTCCACTAATAATGATAATCGGGTGCAGGCAGCTTCGGCGTTGCATGCAAGGTTTCAGTTGCTGCAACGCGCTAGGTTGGTTGTCTTACTGGATGCCCCGCGGCTGTCCCACTTTGGTTGTAGGGACCCAGAGTTGGTGGCGTTAGTTGCTTCGACTTTGGTTTCCTCCACGCTCCCTCGTCCTTCCCCTGCTGTTGTTTGTCCTGCTCCATTCCCCCACCCCTGCTGCCGGCTCCCAAACGTCTGAGGGTTTCAGAGTCGGGGCAGGGTTTAGATATTGGTGAGACTCGGGCAGTCTCAGGGGCTGCCTCATCTGGTTCGGCGATGGAGGCACTTGAGCCTGCTCCTCCAGCTGGGGTGTCAGGGTCTGACGAGCGGGTCCCCCTTTTCCCAGTTTTTCTGGTGGACTCCCAGCTTGGGTATTGGTACTCTCGGCACTGGGCTTGTTGTTGCAGGAAGAAGGGTTTTCTTACCCCCCTATCCCTGTTCCATTTTGATATGAGTTCTGCTCATCCCCGGGTTCAGTTCTGGGTTTCCATGGGTTCTTCAGTCCCTTCCTTCAGGAGGTTTTGGATTTCCCGCATCCCGCCTAAGGAGGTTCAGGAGGCCATTGCTGCGTACCTCCTGCGTGACCCGGATTTGTTACTTGATAATAGACCCTTCCTCATTTGAGTTCGGTTCTGCTTTTCCTTATTGGGTGCGTTACGAGGTGCCGTAGTCATCCTGGTTGGCAGATTGCCCTTTCTTTTCTTTGAGGGCGTGACATTCATTCTGTCGGACCCGCACGCTTGAATGGCGGGAAACTTCTACGGTTCTTCAGATTTACCTGGGGGATGAGTTGGAGCACCTCAATTCTGCTTATTCACCCCTCGTTGTTCCTAAGGATATTGGCCAGATGCAGCTTCACGTGCAGGTTCCTGTCCTTTCAGCGTCCCTGGTAGCTGAATATTTGCGCGCCCAATGGCACTTGGCTTCGATTTTGTGTTTTTCCTGCTCGAGCTGTTTTCGGACTGGCTTGAGGAGGATATGGAGGTACTGGGCCAGTGTCAGGTGCGCTTGCCTCGACGGCTCGGACATAGGCTGCCTTATTGAAGTTGTTTGCGCCGATTCTGAAGGAGGCGGTGTCTCTGATCTTTGCTTCTCGCCTCGCGTGTAAGCAGGCTGAGCTTGCTCGCTCCATGGAATCTGCGTTGAGCCTGGTTCTTAGGTTTTCATCATCCTTTTGTCCATCACTGTTTGCACTTTCTGCGGTTGTGCAGTATTTGCAGATGGCTTCGTCTAGCTGTTGCCCTATGTCTGACTTGTTGGTTCTCTGAGGTGGCAGTAGGGGGTCTTTCCCGTAGGGGTTGTGCCAGGGTTCGGTTTTCCTTCGGTTGTGGTAGGCCAGTGGTGTCAGTTTCGGAACCGACATTGCCTTTGGTGCTGGTGGCGTCTGTTCAGCACAGTGTTCGCTCTGTGTGTCAGTCAGCTTCTCGAAAGGGGTGTGTTGGCCCTTTCGGGGGCCAGTGGGGGAGAGGCTTGCGCTGTTTGCTCATGCCTGGTCCCACGATTTGTGGGCATTTCGGGTCATTTCCTTCAGCATGCGGTAGCTTTGGGTGGCTCCTCCTTCTTTGAGGGGTTTGTGGTTCGCTAGGCAGAACTCTTCTCCTGCGCTCTATCAGGTCATCTTGGAATACTCACCTAGTTGTGCTTACGGGGGTTAAGCTTTGGCTCTTTAGTTCCGCCTCTCAACCGTCAATCAACTGATGTACAGATTCCTGAGCCTACTGGGCTCTATCATATCTACACTTGAAACTGTTGTGTATGGAGTGAGCCTCCACCACATCACTTCCTAGTGCATTCCATTTACTAACTACTCTGACACTGGAAAAAGTTCTTTCTAACGTCTCTGTGGCTCATGGGTACTCTGCTTCCACCTGTGTCCCCTTGTGCATTTACCACCTGTTTTAAATAATCCATCCTTGTCTACCCTGTCAATTCCCCTGAGAATTTTGTATGTGGTGATTATGTCTTCCCTAGCTCTTCTGTCTTCTAGCGACGTGAGGTGCAGTTCATGCAGCCTGCCCTCATAACTCATGCCTCTTAGTTCTGGGACTATCCTAGTGGCATACCTCTGAACTCTTTCAGCTTTGTCTTGTGCTTGACTAGGTACGGGCTCCATGCTGGGGCTGCATACTCCAGGATTAGCCTTACATATGTGGTATACAAGGTTCTGAAGGATTCCTTACACAGGTTTCTGAAAGCAGTCATGATGTTAGCCAGCCTCGCATAGGCCGCTGATGTTATTCTTTTGATGTGGGCTTCGGGAGACAGGTTTGGCATGATATCAACTCCTAGATCTTTATCTCTCTCTCCGTTTCGTGGAGGACTTCATCTCCCATTCGGTATCCAGTGACTGGCCTCCTAGTTCCTCCTCCTAATTTCATTACCTTACATTTACTTGGGTTGAACTTTAGTAGCCATTTGTCGGACCATTCCTTCAGTTTGTCTAGGTCATCTTGTAGCCTCATACTATCTTCCTTTGTCTTGATCCTCCTCATAATTTTTGCATCATCAGCAAACATTGAGAGGAATGAGTCAATTCCTTCTGGGAGATCATTTACATAAATCAGAAACAGTATAGGTCCAAGGACTGATCCCTGTGGGACTCCATTGGTGACTCCCTGCCACTCCGAGACCTCACCTCTCACAGTGACTCACTGTGTCCTGTTGCTTAGGTACTCCCTTATCCATTGGAGTACCTTCCCTTTCACTTGTGTGAAAATGCAGAGTGGGTGCACTTGGGTGTGGTTGAAACGACCTCATCCCTCAGGTGGGTTTCCCATTTATTTCCCGCTTGTTTGTGTGGATCTGAGAGTCATTCCGGACTTGTCCCATCTGAACCCCTGGGTCTTTTTCCCCTCCTTTTGGATGACCACCCTGTCCCAGGTCTGGCTGCTTTTGGTGCCAGGTGCTTGGATGGTGTCTGTGGACCTCTGGGATGCGTATTGGCACGTCCTAATTCATCCGGGGTTCAGGGACTGGCTTGGTTTTGTCGTAGAGCGGCAAGCTTACCGCTTTCGTTGCCTTCCTTTCAGCTTGAATCAGGCACCTCGCATTTTCACACGCCTTACCCGGGTCGTGGTGACCCGCTTGCGTCTGCTAAGGGTTCTTGCCTACCTCGACGACTGGCTGGTGTGGGCTCCCAGCTGGTCCATGTGTCTGCTCTCCAGGAGTTTGGTTCTTTCCCAGCTCACCGGGTTTGGGTTTCTGGTGAACTGGAGGAAGTCCCATCTGGTTCTCTCTCAGGTTCGGACTTGGCTGGGTTTTGTATGGGATTCTCGGACCACTTCTTTGTTTCTCCCTCTGGTGTCATTGCTGTGGCTGCAGTCCCACCTTTGGCTGTTTTTGGAGGGCTCCCAGGTTACTCGTTGGTTGTTCGAGTAGCTGTGCAGGAGTCCGAACTTCACCGTGCTGGTTTACTCACTGGGTCAGGTTTGGCTTCGGCGGCTGTTCTGGTTCCTTTGGGGACGTCCTTTCCACTGCTCTCGCAATCGTTGGGTTTGGCCTCAATGGCTGCTTCGTTGCCGGCTTGCTCTTTGGGTTTTTTGGGTTCAGTGCCGTGCCGTGGCGCCTACCCGAGCCTTCGCTTGATGTGTACACGGATGCGTCATCTCTTGGCTGGGGTTTTGTGATCAGTGCTCACCATGCCGCACAGGGTTGTTGGGTTCCATCATTCCGTCAGGCTCACAGCACTGTGTGGGAGTTCACAGCAGTGTGGCTGTTGCTTCGGAGGGTTCATGTCGTTCGTGTCATTTGGGCTGACATTGGGCGCGAAAGTTTTGGAGGTCTAACAGGGTTCTGGCCACCCGTTACCTCGTTAACGTTCTTGGCCTTAGTCGGGCGTGTGTGTCGCTCGCAGGTTGCAGCCAGTTGTCTCGACTTTGAGGTGAGGTGCGAGTGGTGGCTGCCTCCCGGATAAGTCCCTCTTTTACTTTTTCTGTGGTTAGGTAGCTTTGGGAAGCTGGAGGGGCTCTCCACAGAAAACCAGGGTTGAATGTAATGTAACTCACCCATTTTTTGGTTGAGTCCCGAAGGCTCCCCAGCAACCCTCCCTCCCTCCGGGTTGGAGGTATTCACATTTTTTTATTCATCCTCTGAACTGGGGTTGGATGGCTGGCGTGGGGGTCTGGTGCAGCTTGTCTGTGCATAGTCTGTGCAGCTCCTCTTCCCCTTCCCGGGGAGGGGAAGCTACACAGACAATGTCACTGCGGCAGTTGTGACGTCATGCTGGTTTGCTTGTTTTTGAATTGGGGAAGTACTGATTGATAGCTTGGATTTCAATAGCAATCTTAAACCAGGTGGAGTTTTTTTGAGACACCTACCTTTCTGGGTGCCTAACTCAATTGATGTCAGACATGGAATGCTTCCAACCACATGGAAGTTTCTATAGGCCATTGCTCCTCGTGCCTCTCTGATGGGGCCAGGTTCTGGCTCGTGGTCCCCTGGAAGGCAAGAACTCTCATCGAATTGACTGATGCCATGGTCTAATACATACATATAAGCCCGGTAAGCTCCGGGGAACCTCCGGGACTTCCCCAGAAATTGGCGTTTCATTACATTCAACGGTAGATTTTTCCACACAATATTATCCATGTTCAGGTAATAGGCAAACTGAAAAAATTATGCTTAAACACATTTGGTGAGAAGCTTATGGCTTCTGAGATTTAACTGTATTAACTAATTGTTAGAAAAATAGGAGGAGGAATGGCAAAATGTTTGGACAAATACCACACAAAACCTTTTGAGTGTACTGTAATTAAAATATGAATATAACTGATGAATAGTTTAACACTGGAACAGGTAAATCACACGAAAGATAATCTTGCATTTATTTACTATATTATTTTGGAAACTGGGATGTTTACGTACCGTATAACATTGGACATTTTATTTTGAACCACAGGTATTCCAAAGGCAGTCCGCGGTGAGGCATGGCAGCTGTTGATGTACCAATATTTGGCACACAATCCAAAACTTGAGCCACAGTTTCCCAGTTACAACCTTCCATATGAGAGTATGATCAAGGAGCTCACTTCACAGCACCATGCCATACTCATCGACTTAGGTTGGTACTTACAACAATATTTAAGGTGTTACTATTGTCTTGGAAATTTGTATAGATGATTCATTATTGATCAGTATGTTACGTGCATGTTTAGGAATGATTAATGGTTGAAATTAGCGATGGTAGGCAAAATTTATGATGTTCAAATATATGTAACTATTCAAATGCTACATTATCCATTAGACGTCCATTGATACTTGACACTAATCATTTCTTTGGGACCGAGGCATCAAGGCTACAAGTTCTGAATGTAGTTTTCACAGAGTGGGGCTCTGCTAGCATAAACAAAAACAAAGTTAATGATGAATTATAGTGTGGATTAAAGCCGACTGTGAAAGTCAACCTTCATATTTTAGTGTGGACAAGAGGTGATCGTGGAAGTCAACTTTGGTGTTTTAGTGTGGACTAGAGATGACTGTGGAAGTCAACCTTGGTGTTTTAATGTGGACTAGAAATGACTATGGAAGTCAACCTTTATGGTTTAGTGAGGACTAGAGATGACTGTGGAAGTCAACCTTTATGGTTTAGTGAGGACTAGAGATGACTGTGGAAGTCAACCTTTATGGTTAAGTGAGGACTAGAGATGACTGTGGAAGTCAACCTTTATGGTTTAGTGAGGACTAGAGATGACTGTGGAAGTCAACCTTTATGGTTTAGTGAGGACTAGAGATGACTGTGGAAGTCAACCTTTATGGTTTAGTGAGGACTAGAGATGACTGTGGAAGTCAACCTTTATGGTTTAGTGAGGACTAGAGATGACTGTGGAAGTCAACCTTTATGGTTAAGTGAGGACTAGAGATGACTGTGGAAGTCAACCTTTATGGTTTAGTGAGGACTAGAGATGACTGTGGAAGTCAACCTTTATGGTTTAGTGAGGACTAGAGATGACTGTGGAAGTCAACCTTTATGGTTTAGTGAGGACTAGAGATGACTGTGGAAGTCAACCTTTATGGTTTAGTGAGGACTAGAGATGACTGTGGAAGTCAACCTTTATGGTTTAGTGAGGACTAGAGATGACTGTGGAAGTCAACCTTTATGGTTTAGTGAGGACTAGAGATGACTGTGGAAGTCAACCTTTATGGTTTAGTGAGGACTAGAGATGACTGTGGAAGTCAACCTTTATGGTTTAGTGAGGACTAGAGATGACTGTGGAAGTCAACCTGGGAGAGAGAGTGTGGGCACAGTCCCTTTGAATGTAGACTGCACTCTGAGTTAAACCTTAAAAGTCCAGAAGGAATGCAACCCACAGGGGTCCACCACCAAAGTTTGCACGGTGTGCTGACTGTTTTAGCTACATAATTTACCACATATTGTTTGTGAGAATATAAATAGAAAATTTGTTGCCAGTCTGCAAACCTAAGAATTTCCATCTCTTTTTATTCTTAATTTGTTTACTAACAAATATGTATCTAAGACTAAAAGCCAAATATGTAATTCTGGTCTATGGTAATAACTGTTATTCATTAGAGGTGTTTGTTCAACTTGCCGTTTACTATATTACATGGAGCATGTTGGATAGTATTGGAGAACACAAAAGGCAGTGCCAGCAGTAAATATAATAGGCTTACATAGCTGAACTATATTTGATAACTCATCGATATATAAAATGAATTTGCAGTGGCTCAAATATATTGCAGACTGTGTTCTGTAGACACGTTACTGGATAGGATGTGAACGTGTGTTCATATACACTATTGGCCTTACTGAGGAGTTAGCCTATTGTTTGCACTAAATAATGGTGCAACACTTAGGAGAGTGAAGACTATTGTACCATGTTAATTAAATTTAGATATAATATAAAAAATCATTAATTCACATTTAATTAAATTAAACGTGAATTAATTTTCAGTACTATAAGCATGAGGAGACAACATTTTCAGTAGAATATGGCTTTACACACAGAGATCACACTAACGTGATGCATCAAATGAATAAATCATTTGATGCATTCTATGATTTGTTCGTAGAATATGTCTTGTTATTGATGTAACTCTTCTTCATTGAAGGTCGTACGTTTCCAACACATCCATACTACATGCAGACACTTGGTCCTGGCCAGCTTGCCCTTTTCAATTTACTGAAAGCTTATTCATTGTTGGATAAGGATGTTGGGTACTGCCAAGGTCTCAGCTTTGTTGGAGGTATTCTCCTTCTTCATGTAAGTATTTATTATTGGAATATTTTTATCATTAGTAATCTTTAACTTTAGAGATTAGCAGCTTATATTCACTGTTAAGAGTATCCTCTCAGTAGAGACAAAACAGGAATGGTTTAAGATTGAGTGTAAGTACTGGCAAGAGGAGGACATCTAGAATTACAATCTTTGCAAAACTAAGTCCTTACAGCTGATATTCTTGAACACATTTATGTGGGGAGCCCCTACAGCTCCCTGGAGCTATTGGGCGGATGATATGTGATACATTAGACCAGGTCATTAGTCTATGGAGTTAAGCCGACTGGGGACCACGATCCAGAACCTGGCCCCCTCAGAGAGGTGCAGAGAGCAATGGCCCTGGAAACCCCCCCCCCCCCCTGTGGTTGGGGTTTTTCCTTATCTGCCATCGACTGGGGTTAGGCACCCAGAAAGGTAGGCATAACAAAATAAACCCCACATGGCAAGAAAATTACAACTAAAAGCCGAAAAGAGTGGCAGAACTACCTCCAATCCTAAGGTAACTAGCAAACAAACAAATGTCACACTCCACCGCCGCACCACTCATCCTCACAGCCCTCCACCTCCTCGAGAGGGAGGAGGTGGGAGCCCTGGACCTCCCCGTGCCGGTTACCTAGAACTCCAATTCATTCGCTAATGTGGTCTGGGGCGGACGTCTTCTCTGGCCTTGATTTCCAAGGCGGTGTTTTGCCTTCGTGGCGATCTCTGCAGTGTTGTTGTGTGCGGTGGCCAGGTGTCCTCCATAGTGCCGGGGCTGCATACACTTAGGGGCATCCTTCCCTAGATGCCCTGTGAGTACTGCCCTTGTGTGTTAGACTTCTCTTCCCTCGTGTGTTCGGGAACCAATTCCGTAGAGGTGTTTGCTGCTCAGCATTTACCCCACCCTCGGGGCCAGCTGGGGTTTCATGGCCCTTGTTTAGCCTTTGGTTGGGAGTGGTATAGTGTTGGTTACTGCATTAGGTGTTGTGCAGCTTGCCTACCTATGCGGTGACTGGTTCCTGTTTCCTCTGGGGACGTTGTACTTTTGCAGGGTTTTCTTTTGTTTTTTGTTTTTATTGCCTGGTGGGGGTCTGCCTGGTGCCACACCAGGCAGACCCCTACTTATATAGTTACACTTATAATATTTTGGTGGACCTCTGCTAGGCCCCTGTGATTGTACACCTCGCAGGGGTTTCAGTGTTTTGATCTTCCTCTTGTTAGCTTTGGGTCTTAACCGGTTAGCAACACCTTGCCCAGGCTTTCCGTAGTAGTCAGCCTATGGGCCCTGGAAAACTCTGACGGGGCATGGTGGACCTATGGATGCATCTTCCGAGTTCAAGCCCGCCTCATGCGGGGTCGAAGGTTGCTGTGTGTGTTCTTGTCTCAGGGTGAATGTCACCTCTTTTGCCTCCATCATGCTGCTTGTTAGGTCAATGACACCTTTGTCCTGGTGTCTTGCGAGTCATGTTCTCTGCTTGTTCTCCAGTACTAGTCTGATGACATTACTGTTAGGGTACAGGCAGCATCTGCATTGCATGCTAGGTTCAGGTTGCTGCAATGCGCTAGGTTGGTTTCCCACCAGGATGCCCCACTGCTGCCCTGCTTTGGTTATAGGGACTCAGACCTGGGGGCGTTAGTCAGTTCGACTTTGGTTCAGTCCGTGCTCCCTGGTCCTTTTCCTGTTGTTCACCCTGTTTCCCTCCCCCCCCCCTCATCCCCCTGTTTCTGGTTCCCAAGCCAGTTGGTAATGAGACTCGGGCTGCCCCATTCAGGCTGGGGAGGGAGGCATTCGAGCCAGTTCCTCCTACCGAGGCTTCTGGGTCCCACCAGCAGCCCCCCCTTCTTTTCAGCCTTTCCCCTGGACTCTGACTTTTCTTCAGGGATAGAGGGTATGGAGGACTGCTCTTCCCCAGGGTCCTGTCTTGGGGGATCCCGGGGCTGGGGAGGGGTTGACATGTGCCTCTTCGTGGGGCTTGTTGTTGCAGGGAGAGAAGTCTTCTTACTTCCCTTCCCTGTATGAGTATGATTTGGGGTTGGCTCCTCTCCGGGTTTGGTTCCAGGCTCCCTTGGGTTCCTTGGCCCCGTTCTTCCACAGGGTTTCTGCTTCTCATGTCTTCCCTAGGTAGGTTTGGGAGGCTCTTGCTGCATACCTCATGCAAGACCCAGATTCTGCCTTGGTGATGGATCCGTCCTTATTTAAATTTGGTTCTTCTTCCCCATATTGGGTGCATTTAGAGGTTTCAGAGTCTTCCTGGCTGCAGACTACCCATTCTTTTCGTTGGAGGCGTGGCATGGGTTCTGTCGGACCAGCACGCTTGAGTGGCGAGAAACTTCTACCGTTCCTCTTCTTAACGATACATGCAGTTTGCATGAAGGTTTGCAATTGTGCAGCGAACAAGGTTCGCTTGTGCAGTCTCCCGATGACTGCACAAGCGGCGATGTTGAAAAATGTGGCACTCAAAGTGCCACATTATGAACATCATTGTTCATAATTTGGTAGAGATTGGAAGTTATCAATGTCTTCTATTTGTGAGAGGATAATGAGAAAATAAACATTTGAGTGGAAATGGACTCAGGATGGCAAAGATGAGGAGTTGTGTTAATGGTGGTATCAAAGTTTTGTGGTTTTATAAAAAGGTGTATGGTTTAGTTAAGAGACTGAGATTGTGAGTCGAAGTATGTTTGGGAGTTAGTCGCAATTTAGATAGGTTAGGGTAGATTATGGTAGGGTAAGTTAGAGTACATTAAGTAACATGTGGTTAATGTGTATAAGGTTAGGTTAGATTGGGGTAGGTTGGTTGAAGATGGGTTGTTATGTTGTTGTATTTCGGATATTTACGTCTGGGATGTGATTACATCGGTCTTCTTTCATGTGCCAGTAGTATACTGTGTTGAAGATCTGGGCGTGGTTGGAGGATGTGTCATGGGAGTGTGTGCTTTATGTGGTTTTCAGCCAAAGCGGCAGGTCATTGGGAGGTTTGTACAGCTGGGGGCTTCTTATTCTTGGTGCCAGTGGTCGTACTGTATTTCGATGAAAACCTAAGAGTGAGGGCCCAAGCGGATTCCAAAGAGAGAGCGAGCACAGCCTGACAGGTGAGAAGCAAAGAACAGAGATATGGCCTCCTTCAGGATAGGTGCAAACAGCTTCAACAGCACGGCCAACACCCGAATCGCTGAGGGCAGCACCCCTGGCGTTCTTTCCTGGATTCCATGCCCTTCCTTTCGGATGACCACTCCTGGCGAGGTCTGGCTTCTTTTGGAGCCGGGTGCCTGGATGGTGTCTCTGGACCTCAAGGACGCGTACTGGCATGTTCCTATTCATCCAGGGTTCAGGGACTGGTTAGGTTTCGTGGTGGGGTGTCACGCTTATTGCTTTCGCTTCCTTCCTTTTTTGCTTGTATCTGGCACCTTGCGTATTCACGCATCTTACCCGGGTCGTGGTGACCCGTCTGCATCTGCCAGGAGTTCGGGTTCTGGCCTACTTCAACAACTAGCTGGTGTGGTGCTCCCAGCTGGTCTGCTTGTCTGCTCGCCAGGGGTGTGGTTCTTTCCCAGCTTGCCGGGTTCGGGTTCCTGGTGAACTGGAAGAAGTCCCATCTGGTTCTGTCTCAGGTTCGGACCTGGCTGGGTCTTGTTTGGGACTCTTGGACCGCTTCCATGTCTCTCCCTCAGGAGGCATTGCTGAGGCTGCCATCCCACCTTCGGCTGTTTCTGGGGGGTTCCTGTATCACTCGGTGATTGCTCGAGTGGTTGTGCGGGAGTGTGAACTTCACTGTGCTGGTCTACCCACTGGGTAGGGTTTGGCTTCGGTGTCTGTTCTTCTGGTTCCTTTGGGTCCTTTCAGGTTCCTTGGGGTTCCTTGTTCTGGTTCCTTCTGGTTCCTTCGGGGACTTCCGCTTCTCTCGAGATTGCTGGGTTCGTACTCTGGAGGCCTTGGCGCCTACCCAAGTTCTCGCTCGATTTGTTCACTGACTCTCGGCTGGGGCTTTGTGACCAGTGCTCACAAGGCTGGCCAGGGACGTTGGGGTCCATCCTTCTGTCTGGCTCACAGCACAGTGTGGGAGATCACGACAGTTTGGCTGTCGGTTCGGAGGGTTCAGTTTGCTCGGGGTTCAACCATCAAGGCTCCATTCAGACTGTTCTTCCATGATTCATTGCCTGAACTGCAGGGGTTCTCTTCGGTCCTTGCCTCATTGGGGCTGGTCATTTTGAGTGGCTCGTCTGCTGGCTTCTTGGGGTTTGGCTCTCCGTGCGGTTCATTTATGGGGAGTGTCCAATGTCCTGGCGGATGACCTGTCTCTGTTCATTCCCCTGACCATGGAATAGACGGTTGACATCAACTCCTCCTGTTGGCTCTGCTGGACGTATGGACTCCCGGATATGAACCTCTTCGAGTCGGCATGGTCTCAGCATCTTTCGATCTATGTGGCGCCCTACCCCGACTGTGACGCTGTCACGGTGGAAGCTTTTTGGCAGGACTGGTTGAGGTGGAGTTACCTTTAACTCTTTCCCCGGTCCAGCTGTTGCTTCAGCTTCTGGCTTGGTTGGAGTCCTACCAGGGAAGAGTAGTCCTCGTGACCCCTTGGTGACCTGCAAAGTCTTGGTTCCAGACACTCCTTGCTCGGTGTGTGAACCCTGGATATTTTCCACGGCTCCGCCTCTTCCAGCAGGTCGGACCAGTCCAGTACACGGCTGGTTCGGTCTTCTTCTCCGCTCTTCGTATCTGGTCTTTTTGATGCGGGTTTATTACTATTTGTACTGGGATCAGTTGGCTTCGTTGATGGTGTCCCACCTGAGAGCTTCATATTGGTAACAGTATGAAGTTTCCTGGCATTCTTTCCACCACTTTATGCCTTCATAGGTTGTCTTCTATTTCTGATTGGTTGTCTTGTCCTATCTGTCTTGACTTTTTCAGGACCATCATTTGATGCCTAATACTGTCACCTCGTATTGTGCGGCGCTGGCGGAGCCTCTCCAGCTTGCATTCGGGGTGGATGTCACTTTGTAAGTTTCTTGTGCTTTGTTTCACCTCCGGCCTGCTCATGTGCCTCCTGAGCCGTCCTGGTCCTTGGACAATGTGCTCTCCTATCTTTCCTCTCCTCGGTTTGTGGTAACCCTTTCGGTTCAAGATTATTTTTCCAAGGCTCTGTTTCTGTTGGCATTGGCCTCTGGGGGTCAAGTCGGTGAGTTTCATGCTCTCCTCCGGCGCAGGGGTTTCTGCTCTTTCGGTCCTGGTGGTCTGTTTGTTTGGGTGCAGCCTTCTCCTTCTTTTCTGGTGAAGAACGAGACAGCTGTTTTCCGGAGAGGTCCTTGGGTCATTGATGCTTGATTGGTCAGGCCGGGGGTGCATTATGTGTTGTGTCCGGTTGCGACTCTTCGCCATTACCTGTGCACCATGGCTTGGGTGGCCGGGGATGAGCTTTGGGTTGACCCGGATTCCCTTCCCTGTTCCAGGGTTTGCGTCTCCCAGGTCATCCGCAGGATTATTTGTTCCAGTTAGCCTGCAGTCTATCCTCATGCCCATGACATTCGAAAGTTTGCTGCATTGGCTGCTGTCTTTGGTAATATGTCTTGTGCTGAGATTCAGGCACAGGGTTTTTGGAAGTCAAACAGGGTCCTGGTCACTTGCTACCTAGTCAATGTTCATGGCTGTAGTTGGGCGTGTGTCGCATTGAGTCTGCGGCTGCAGTCAGTTGTCTTGACTTCGAGTTGAGGAGCGAGTGGTGACCGCCTCCCGGCTAATGCCTCTTGTTTTATCTTTGATTAAGTAGCACTGGGGAGCCAAAGGGGCTCCCCAGTCTGCACAGAAAGCAGAAAGTGCACTTTCTGCGCACTTTCTGCACAGAAAGCAGAAAGTCAGCGTTGAATGTAATGAGACGACATTTTCTGGGTTAGACCCAGAGGCTTCCCGGCAGCCCTCCCTTCCTCTGGTCAGCTGTTTTTGCAGTTTTTGACATCCAGCCTCAGAATTGGGGGTGGATAGCTGGCACGGTGGATCTGGAGCTGGCCCTTTTCCCTCCTGGGAAGGGGGGAGCTACACAGACAATGGCGCGTACTCGTTTGCTCATTTTTAGTTTGCGGGACTTCTGTCCAACAGTTCGACTTTCAGTAGCAATTTCTTAACCAGAATAGGGGTTTGTTTTGGGGTGCTTACCTTTCTGGGTGCCTGATCCAGTCAATGGCAGACATAGAATGCTTCCAACCACACAGGGGCTTCTATAGGCCATTGCCCCTTGTGCCTCTTTGAGAGGGACAGGTTCTAGCTCGTGGTCCCTGGTAAGCCTAAGAACTCCATTCGCTTGACTGATGCCACGGTCTAATATATCCATATCAGTCTGGATAGCTCCGGGGAGCCTCCAGGTCTCACCCAGAAAATGGCGTTTCATTACATTCAACGCTGGTTTTTTTGCATCATAGAGAGCAAAACTATCAAATTTATTTTCCTTGCATAATGCATGTGTATTTTATTTGTATCATTCAATATCTTTATTGTAATTTAAATTTGATATTTTAAAGGTGGAAGAAGAGGCAGCGTATAATCTGTTGAAGCATCTGATGTACGTAATGGGATGCAGACGTCAGTATCGACCAGATCTTATTGGTCTTCAGGTTAGTTGCTTGCCACGTGACACTTGTTAAGACAGTCATTACTATATGAGCTCTTCCACTGTATGCCGCACCTGACCTCGTCTTGTAGTTATATAATGTAAGTTGCTGTTGAAAAAAAGCACCATATAAAGTCTAGCCATTACTGTATTTGGACGATATTTTGTCCTAGACAAGTTTTCTCAAAATTTGGCCGTAAACAAAGCTTTCTTCACAGCTGTCTTAAGAAACCATCGTTATATATTGGCCCATTACTGGTACTAGGCTAGGGATTGCTGCTCCTGCTGTACACAGTGAGAGTAATTACCTACTGGGTAAGTATAATTACCTAAGTGTAGTTACCAGATGAGAGCTCCGCTCGTGGTGTCCCATCTTCCCAGTACTCTTCGTCATATAACGGTTTGAAACTACTAACGGATTTGGCCACCACCAAATGTTCTGCTATATGTGCACTCTTGAATGAAAGAACACTTTTGCTACCTACATGTTCAATGCTCTTACTGTTAATTTCAAATTTTTGTGTATTATTCTGTGGGGGAGCCCCTTCAGCTCACTGGAGCTATAGGGCTAATATGCTATATATTAGACTAGGGCATTAATCAATGGAGTTCTGCCTACTGGGGACCACGAGCCAGAACCTGGCCCCCGCAGAGAGGTGCAGGGAGCAATGGCTCTGCATCCAAGTGCTTGGGGGTTTTCCTAATATGCCATCGACTGGGGTTAAGCATCCAGAAAGGTAGGCATAACAAAACAAACCCCACATGGTAAGAAAATTGCAACCGAAAACTGAACAGAGAGATAGAACTCTCCCAAATCCCAAGGAAACAAGCAAACAAGCAAACATCACACCTCACTGCCATGCCGCACCGCTTGTCTGCGGAGCCTTTCCCTCCTGAGAGGGGGAGGGGGTGGAGAGCCCCAAACCCCCATGCCCCCCAGCTACTCAGTAACTCCAGTTCATTGGCTAATGCAATCTAGGGTGGTCGTCAACTCTGGCCTCGATTTCTTGGCAGTGTTTTGCCTTAGTGGTGTTCTTAGCTACTTAATGGTGTGGTGGCCAGGTGTAATAAGTGTTCTGGGGCTGCATGCACCTAGGGCGGCCCTCCCTAAGCCCCCTGTGAGTACTACCCCTGGGTGATAGGGTTCTCTTCCCTTATGCCTTTGGGACACCATTTCCATAGGGGTTTCTGTGGGGAGCCCCTACGGCTTCCTGGAGCTATCAGGCTAATACAGTATGTGATATATTAGACCAGGGGCTTTATTCAATGGAGTTCAGCCTACCAGGAACCATGTCTACTTCTACAAATATAATCCTCTGGAAATAAGTTTGTGATGAGCCAGAATTTGCTACAACCCCTGTGGAATTTAGATTTTTCTCCTACACCTCTGAATTTCAGATGGATTATCCGGTAGGTGGAGGTTCCTCTGTATTTCAGAAGACCTATTACTAAATCATATAAATATTTAAAAAATTTAGTTGATAATTTATTCTGATGAGTCTGTTATGTTTATTCTTCAGGTACAGATGTATCAACTATCACGACTGCTTCATGACCAGCTTCGCAAGTTATATGACCACTTTGAGACCCATGAAGTCACACCACAGCTCTTTGCTGCTCCCTGGTTCCTGACACTTTTTGCTTCACAGTTTCCTCTGACCTTTGTTTGCAGAGTATTTGGTGAGTTCCTCTTGAATGTGATTACTGTGCTGCTTCACAGTTTCCTCTCACCTTTGTTTGCAGGGTATTTGGTGAGTTCCTCTTGAATGTGATTACTGTGCTTTATTTCAGATGAATTTTTATATGTGTGTTTTTTTGACCAAAATTCTGCCCTTTGGCTTATTTAGAACTATTGCTTTGGTCATGAAGGATATTGGAAACACATTGTATGGAAGGCTAGCCTGTGAGCCGACATTTCTTTTGTTATACCCATTCAACCATTTATATACTTGAATCATGTCACCCTTACCTGCTTGATGGGGTTCTGGGAGTTCTTCTACTCCCCAAGCCCACCCCGAGGCCAGGCTTGACTTGTGAGGGCCTAGTTCAACAGGCTGTTGCTTGGAGCAGCCCACAGGCCAACATATCCACCACAGCCTGGTTAGTCCAGCACTCCTTGAAGAAAACTATTTAGTTTTCTCTTGAAGATGTCCACAGTTGTCCGGCAATGTTTCTTATACTCGCTGGAAGGATGTTGAACAACTGTGGATATATGCAAACAAAATCATCATATATACACGTGGAAAACACTGCTGGGCCAGGTCCCAAATCTAAATAGTAAAATAACAACATACTTGAGTGATCGATATGAATGAAAATGCAGAATAGAACCAGTGAAGAGCAAGGGTCCTATAGACACAATCAGGGAACACTGTATAAACATCTGAGGTCCACGATTGTTCAACATCCTCCCAGCGGGCATAAGAAATATTGCAGGAACAACCATGGACATCTTCAAGAGAAAACTAGATCATTTTCTTCAAGGAGTGCCGGACCAACCGGGCTGTGGTGGATATGTAGGCCTGTGTGCCGCTCCAAGAAACAGCCTGGTAGACCAAACTCTCACAAGTCAAGCCTGGCCTCGGGTCGGGCTTGGGGAGTAGAACAACTCCCAGAACCCCATCAACCAGGTATCAAACAGATACTCTTTGCCTTTCTAATGAATATAAATTAAGCTTTTCTGTGGGAAGCCCCATCGGCTCCCTAGAGCTATAGGACTAATATTAGCTATATTAGTCTGGGACTTCAGTCATATGAAGTTCTTATACCTACCGGGAACCACAAGCCAGAACCTGGTTCCCTCAGAGAGGCGAAGGGTGCAAAGGCCTATGAAAACTCCACTCTTTGAGAGTACAGTATATTCATGTCTGCTATTTACCAGGGTTAGGCACTTAGAAAGGTAGATATCCTAAAACAGACCCCAACTGATAGAAAATTGCAACCCAAGAACTCCCCCAAGAAAAACAAGGTAACAAGCAAATTGACACACCGCCCCCATCCCCTTCCCTGGGAGGGGGGAAGGGGGAGCCCCACCCACCTGTGCTGGTGACTTGCTCACCAGTTTGTCGACTGAAGCCATCTGGGACTGATGTCTACTCCGGCCTTGATTTTCTGTCAGGATTTTACCCCCGTGATTTGGCGCTGGGGCATTGGCCAGGAGTACCGGTACTTCGGGCTGCATGCGCATAGGGTTATCTTCCCTAGGCACCCTGAAAGTACTTCCCTTGGGTCTCAGGGTTGTCTTCCTTAGGGCTTTCGGGCTCACTTCCGTTAGGGTTGCTGTTGCTTGGCATCAGCCTCACCCTTGGGGTCAGCGGGGATCTTGGTGCTTTTGATTGGCCCTGGGTAGGGAGTGTTTGTTGCTGGTTGGGGCGCAGGGTGCTGCACAGCTCGCATACTAGTGGTGGCTGTGTCTCTCTCTCTTTGGCCTCCTGTTGTTGTGGTGCACTTTCTGAGTTTGTTTTCATTCTTTTCAGCTCTTTCCTGCCTGGTAGAAGGCTGCCTGGCTTCCCATTAGGTATGCCTAGGTTCCGTTTGGTAGTCCTCCACTTGACCCCTGAGGTTGCTCCCTTCACCGGTAAATAGACAGGGTTCAACCAGCTTTACAGCACCAGTGCCTGGGCTTCCCATAGGGACATTATTCCCTGTGAGCCCTGGAAACTCCTGTCAGGGCTCGGGTGACTATGGATATAGTCACCCGAGTTCCAAGTCCCATCTCGCCTTGTGTGAGTTTGAGGGTTGTTCGTTGCCCTTGTCTCAGGGTGACGTCCTGTTGCTTGTTGGGTCAACGACACCTTTGACCCGGAGTTGTGCGAGACATGTTCACCACTCGTTCTCCGGTTTACCCATTCTTATTTGGACGTTCTTAGGGGTCAAGCGGTTGTCGCATTGAATGCTAGGTTTAGGTTCTTGCAACGTGCTAGGTTGGTTGCCCTCTCAAATGCCCCGGGGATGCTCTGTTTTGGTTTTAAGGACCCAGACTTGGGGGTGTTGGTAGCTTCGACCTTGGTTCAGTCCGCTCCCCTGAGTCCTTCGCCGGTTGGTGTGGTACGCCGTGCTCCTCTCCCTCCCACTGTTGGATCCCAAACTTCTGAGGGTTTCGGAGTCTGGGCAGGGTTTAGTTGGGGGATGAGACTCTGGTGATTCAGGGGGGCTGCCACCTTCGATGCGGGGAAGGAAGCCTTTGAGCCTGATCCTCCTGCCGAGGCTTCTAGGTCTTCCCAGCAGAACCCTTTTTTTGCTGCCTTTCCCTTGGACTCTGCCTTTTCTTCAAAGGTAGAGGATGGCTCTGCCTTGGAGCCTGGAATTGAGGCTTCTGGAGCTGGGGGGGGGAGTCGGCTTGGGGTACTTGGGCCCCGTTCGAACCTTCCTGGGCCTTGGTGCCCATGGGGCGAGGTTTGCTGTTGCAGAGGTTCAGGGCTTTCGTACCCCCCTTCCTTATATGAGTTTGATATGAGTTCAGCACCCCATTTGGTTAGTTTCTCGGTTCCTTTGGGTTCTGAGGCTTCTTCCTTCCAGATGTTTTCCACCTCTCTGATTTCCCCTGCGGGTGTTCGGGAAATAGTGCCTACCTCCAACAAAACCTGGACTTTGCCTCTGTGATGGATCTGGTCTCGTTCGAGTTTGGTTCGCTTTCCCATATTGGGGGCGTTATGGGGTTCCGGCATCTTCCTGGCTGGCAGACTGCCCTTTCTTTTCTCTTAGGGCGTGGCACAGTTTTTGTCATATCGGCACGCTAGATTGGCGGAAGGTTACTACTGTGTTACAGGTTTACTGGGGGGGGGGGGTTGCTTTTGAGCACCTCAATGAGTGCCTTAATGCCCCTGTGCTTCCTCGTGAGGTTGGCTTGCTCCAGTTGTATGCTCAGGTCCTCTCCCTTTCAGCTGCCTTGGTTGCAGAGGATCTTTGTGCTTGAGGGCATCTGGCATCGGTCTTGTGCTTCTTTTCCTCTTCTCGAGCTGTCCTCAGACTGGCTTGTGGAAGATGTGGAGGCGTTGAGTACCGGGCTGTTGTCTGGGGCGTTGGCTTCGGCGGTTAGGGCATCGGCGGTGTTGCTGAAACTGTATGCGCCTATCGATCAGGTGGTGCCTCTCTTTTTTTGCCTCTAGCCTCGCATGTTGACAGGCCATCCTCACTCTCTTTTGATTCAGCTTGGGATCCTGTCTCTTAAGTTTTCATTTCCTTTCTGTCCATTGTTGTTCTCAGACGCAGTTGTTTCTCAGTTTTTGCAGATGGCTTCTGATAGTTGCCATCCTCTTTCTGAATTGTTGGTGGGCGTTCTTGCGCTTCCCGGAAAGGTCGTGCCAGGGTTCAGGTTTTGGCAGGTCGAGCTTGGTGCCAGCTTCTGTGCCGGTGCCTCTTCCAGAGCTAACCATAGCTCCTGACAGGCTGTGAAAGGGCCTCAGACATCTTGTGTATTGGGCTAAGACTTTATGATACCAGAATATAAGTTAATGGAGCTACTGGGGGCCCACTGGAAAAAGCCTTTTCATTACAGTCAATGCTTAATTTTCATGTATACAGTGTATGATACTCATACCCTGTTCTCATGCAAGTATTTTTTCCACACTTTCTTACAACTAACTTTCATGTATCTTTTGTGTGAGTGTATTTTAGTGTGTGTGTGTGTGTGTGTGTGTGCATGTGCGCACAAATTGCAAAATATAAATTTTAATTGACAGTTGTTTATACTTGAATCATTAAATTATTGGTACATATATTTCATTTATATCTTTTTACCTTTCATGCATAACTGACAGTGTTACGGTAAGTTGAGACTGTGGTTTTTTATAGTTATCACTAGTAAGAATATTAGGTATCACAAGTAAGAATATTAGGTATCACAAGTAAGAATATTAGGTATCACTAGTAAGAATATTAGGTATCACAAGTAAGAATATTAGGTATCACAAGTAAGAATATTAGGTATCACAAGTAAGAATATTAGGTATCACTAGTAAGAATATTAGGTATCACTAGTAAGAATATTAGGTATCACTAGTAAGAATATTAGGTATCACTAGTAAGAATATTAGGTATCACAAGTAAGAATATTAGGTATCACAAGTAAGAATATTAGGTATCACTAGTAAGAATATTAGGTATCACTAGTAAGAATATTAGGTATCACAAGTAAGAATATTAGGTATCACTAGTAAGAATATTAGGTATCACTAGTAAGAATATTAGGTATCACTAGTAAGAATATTAGGTATCACTAGTAAGAATATTAAGTATAATTAGTAAGAATATTAGGTATCACTAGTAAGAATATTAGGTATCACAAGTAAGGTATCACTAGTAAGAATATTAGGTATTACTAGTAAGAATATTAGGTATCACAAGTAAGAATATTAGGTATCACAAGTAAGAATATTAGGTATCACTAGTAAGAATATTAGGTATCACTAGTAAGAATATTAGGTATCACTAGTAAGAATATTAGGTATCACTAGTAAGAATATTAGGTATCACTAGTAAGAATATTAGGTATCACTAGTAAGAATATTAGGTATCACTAGTAAGAATATTAGGTATCACAAGTAAGAATATTAGGTATCACAAGTAAGAATATTAGGTATCACTAGTAAGAATATTAGGTATCACTAGTAAGAATATTAGGTATCACTAGTAAGAATATTAGGTATCACAAGTAAGAATATTAGGTATCACAAGTAAGA